TAACACAACACATAGTTTTGTTTCATTTTCACCACTCTGTCTGGGTGCCAGGCTTATTTTTTGTCAGTGAGTGTAATAAAAGCCAGTGCTATAGTATGATGGCTATTATATAACTACCATATGATAACGACTTCTTCATCAGTATTAAATATGGCAATAATTTAATACTAATAACTACTACAAGTAGTAGTAGTAGTGGTAGTAGTAGTAGTAGTAGTAGTAGTAGTGGTAGTAGTAGTGGTAGTAGTAGTGGTAGTAGTGGTAGTGGTAGTAGTAGTAGTAGTACAAGTCCTAAAATTGTTTTTTTTTTTTCCAATTGTCTTATTGCTAAGTTATTAACCAATAACATAATGGTAAAGAGTAGGGGTGTAAATTGTTGTCCAAAGAGCACTGAAATTTGTTCAGATTGTTGTATTCTTCTTTTACTACACCAAATTAATTTAACACTGACAACTTGTTTGGATGCATATTCAATAATCCAGGTAGATAACTAAAACTGTTGAGTCAGGTCCTCTGGACGGGTTCTTCTTTGTTGAGATGTTTCATCTTTTATCAAAAATACTTCTTCTGTCTGAGGAGCTGCATTAAACTCAATCTTATAAGCAGCACCTTCTCATAATGGCTCAACCAGTTTGCTGGTGACAGTCAAAACTAGTTTTTCACATGCAACAGGAGCCATCAGGGCACTAACAATCGGTCATTAGGCTGATGGTCATCCTTGTGCATGTGATCAACTAGTTCTGACTGTCACCAGCAAACTGGTTGATCCACTACAAGAAGGTGCTGTTTAAGACAGTTTGTTGCAGCTTATCAGACTGAAGAAGTTTTTTCAATAAAAGATTAAACATTTCAGCAAAGAAGAACCCTTTCAGAGGACCTCACTCAGCCTTTTTAGATTTACTAAATTTAATTTGGAAAACAAAGCAGAAATGGTTTGTGTCACCTTTGACATCCACGTGAAACTGCACTGCATCATTTGCTGTCTTGCAGTTGTAAGTCCCTGCATGAGACAGCATCACTGACTGCACAGCAAGTATTCGTCTTGAGCCTTCTTCCAGCATTTCTTGCCCAGGAGCTTCAAGAAGACTGATTCCATCTTTCAACCAAGTGACGTGAGCGTTTGGATCTGATACCTCACATTCTAGCCATAATGATTTGCCAACTTCAACAGACTTGTTCCTGTCAGCCTCCTGAAGAGTGGTTATTCTCACAGGTGGAGTTGGGGATGCTTGAGGTAACATTAAGAGAAAGATCACAATTACTGCCTACAACAAATTAATGCTTTAAAAACATTTAAAAAAGCAAAATTGCAAAACAAGGTTAGTCGTGCCAAAATAATCTTACAGTAGAAGTCATAAAAAAGTGTTCTTTGGTATTAGTAACTTTAACAAGATGTATATTTGGTTAGATTTGAGATAACTAGGCATTCAGATTAGACTTTAATACTAATATACTGTATATGCAAATGTTTTCTTTACTGGTAATGTTCTTTCCAGACCACTCAAGCTCAGTTTTGCTTTTACTACTACAGGAAATTATTTTTTAGTTAGAACAAAATCAAGCGAGTAAATAGTCAACATGTTTTAAATGTCAACGAGTGCATAAAGCAGCCTATTCATTTTACACAAGGTCAACATTATGTCCATCTATATTTTGTAATGCTAACCATTTAAATCACCTTTAACAGCCACCTTATTTGCATTGGCACTGTCACTCCAATGACTGTCACGTGTACTTGACAAATACATCTCATCAGATTGCAATGCAGATATCCTCTTGGTGTAGTTAAAGTCTGCAACGTTAGTAGATAATTGTTGCCCACAGTGACCAGTGCTGTCCTCTTGGTCTTGTGCAGTTTCTGTGGCGTGAAGACACTCTTCTAGACCAGTTGCTTCCTGACTCGATTGATGCAGTAGCATTGAAAGATTAGATCCTCTTTGTCCTGCATTATGTATATCATCCCATTTGGAAAATGGTGGCAAGTTGACGTGCTCGGTTAGGAAAGTTTCTATTTCCTTAATCTTAGACAAGTCCAATGAAGCAGAACTGGCAAAGTCACAAAACTTCTCTGACAGAAGGGGTGGTTTGTGCAAGGGTATGTTTAAGTCCTCTGATTGGTCAGTCACAGTCCTTAAAGATTTGCAGGATCTCACTAAGAGGACACCTCCAGACTGTGAACAATCTTGAAGTCTCTCTGAAAGTTCATCTGACATCTGAGTGGGAATCAACTGACTATCTGATTGCACTGTAGCAGTATGTAAGAATTCGGAAGACTTATCTAATTTACAAAACGTATTTGTTCGGAGGGGTGAACTCTGTAATTTGTTAGGCTTTTGCTCAGACTGAGTATTGGATGTTGGTTCGAGGTTACCTGGTTTTAACTGCACAATTGGAATCTTCATAGAGTTTTGCACCTGCTGCTCTGGTTGAACAGGTACCTTGGAAGTAAATTCTTCAGATTCAAGTTCAGTTTGTAAAGAATCACAGCACTCATCTTTCTGTCCAAATGTCTCCAAGGAATTATGATGTTCTTCAGGTGGGACTTCTTTAGGCTGTATAAAGCACATACATTCCTCACCTTTTGTCTTCATTGTTTCTTTAGTATGATGTTGAATGTTGGGCAGAATTGTTGTTGACATATTAGTATGAGAGCACAATTGAGATTGGGCCTTTATTATTTGTTGGCTGTCATAGAGCTCCTTTGGTTGTTCCATTCCAGTACAATCAGCCACACAAATTATGACTGACTGAGGAGTTATCTCATCCACAGTATGACTTTTGCATGTATCTTCTCCTTTGTTTGTAGAGATGACAGAATAGCTTTTCGAGGACTTCTGGACAGCTTGATCAGAGTGAGCCTCTTCTGTGGACTTGTTCTTTTCTTGGTCAGGGGAGCACCATGGCGATGTAGCTATAAGCATTGTGATGTACACAGAAAAAGGTTTTCAGTTGTTGGTATTCTCAATACTTCCTTCCATAACATATTTTACAGCAGTGGTGGTTAGCATGGAGTTATGGGATAATCCATTGCAAAGACAAACAAGAAGGTCGACCAGGACTGGTCTGAAAGTATGCTTCACTATATCGCCCTTAAAAATATCCCTTGTGTCGTACCATCAATCTGTGCACTAATGTCTTTAAACCTAGAAAGTGCATGTTTACGTCTCTGAGATAAGACTGTTGTCATTGCAACGGGAAAAAGTTCAGGGCAGAAATGTGAATGAGAGGATCTGGAGATGAACAGAACAAGATGGACTTTAAGAGTTGCAGGTTGTAAGCAAAGATGATGGTTAAAATGAAGAGTGATTTGACAAACACAACATGTATGTTAGTATGACCAGCAGCTAAACATCTACCAAACAACCATATGTTTAAGAGCCAAAAAAAATCATCAGTAAAAGGATTTGAGGTCATGGATAACTGAGACATAAAAAGCATTTTTTAAAAGAACGTACACAAAATTACAGATGGTTCAGATGATTGAGCTAACAGTGAGATACACCACTTTTGTTAGTGGCATTTATGGGCTGGGTTAAGATGGATGATTGATTTTGAAATATCAAATCACCTTTGACATCCATAGTGAACTGGGCAGATGCATCAGTTACCTCATCAATCTCATCACGACAGTGACACAGTCCGGCTGTTTGGACAAAGCCAAAGAGAAGACAATAAGCTGGGTGATTGTGTCACGCATGTAACTAACTTTCTGAGACGTAAATGTGCAGGTACAATGAAGAACAACACCTTTTATGTTGTCATGTAACTCTGCATCATTCGATGTGTTACAGCTAAACTTGCCGTCATCAGACAAGAATGTTGACTGGAGGGGCAAGACCTGGCTGTCTTCTCTATTGTCAGCTTCCCTTTTTGGATACACCGGGGTTCCGTCTTTGTACCAGCAAGCTTTTGCAATAGGATCTGAAATCTCAAACTGCTGAACAATTTGGCAGTGTGCTTCAGGTGAAATGGCCTTCTTGTCAGAATCAAGTAGACATGTTGGAGGTGGCACTACAAACAATCATTGAGGGATTATTTCAGTGCATTTCTCATAAATTTGGAGACAAGCAAGAAAAGCGTTCACAAATTTGCACATAAAGATAGAACTAGAAGCCACAAAAAAATAAGCCACAAACATAACCAATTACACACTTGCAAATTAAAGAAAATCACCTTGATTTTTCACTAACAATTTGGCAACATCATCTGCTGTTGCGCAATAGTATGCTCCAGAGTTTGAAGGATGAGATGCTTCAATAACAAGAGTCTCCTTGATAGCTCCCATTTCAAGATCAAGTTCTCTATTTGAACAGGGTTCTGATTCTCTCTTCTGCAACACCTGGACAGCAGGGTCTGTGGTTTCACTGGCTGGTTCAGACGGGAAGGTTGCTTCAAGTGACTGCCTCTCCAAAGCCTCCAGTGAGGGAGAATATGTTGGTGCTAAAAATAATGATTCAAAATATAACTGAACTGAACAGATATAGAAGTGCGCCCTCAAGAAAGACTGAACCTTCCAAAACAGGTTAAAAAGCTTCATCTCAAAAATAACTGAGAAATGCTTTGTTGGGTTACGTATTATTTAAATACCTTTCTTTAATTTTAGCAGAGTTTAAGTTTACTATACTTTAACATACCGTAGACAGAACCTCTTACATGGCACTGCTTACATACATACCAAATATGCACAGCTATCATTAGTGTTAGTGTCCAGACAGCTTGAGCATTTGCTCTAAAACAAACAATTTGAATCAAAATATCACCTTTAATAGTCTCAGAGAAGTGGATACTGTCATCAAAGGTTTCACAACTGTATAGCTCTGGCTGCAAGAGCTCGGCAGATGAGGTAATGTGTCCTGTTGTGGGGTCATTGCTCTTTATACCCCAACCCTTTGGTGGGCAGAGCTTTGTATCATCTTTATACCAGCAGGCAGGGACAATGGAGTCTGTAACCTTACACTCCAGCCTCAAAGGTTTGATCACGTCAAGTGACTCCGCTCTCTCAGCATCAAATATAGTAGAATATGTCACAGGTAGAGCTAGCATTGGGGAATTAAGCACAACTAAATAAACCCAACGCTGTGAAAATAGATACTTTTCAAAGATAGAACTGCCAAGCAGAAGATAAAAAGTCTTTTGGCATCTTTCAGTTCAGAAAAAAGCCACAGCGATCACAAAGCAAGAACAAACAAACATCAGTTCTTTAAAACTATTATTTGCATAAAGAAAACCATCAAATCAAATTGTTTAAGCAGGGATCGTTAGTGGCACCTATAAAGAGAGAGCTGGGTTACTGGCTCAAGATAGAAAGTGCAAATTCACCTTTGATCTCCACTTGAAATTCCACAGAGTCGTCCTGTGTGGTGCATCTGTACAAGCCAGAGTGGCACAGCTCTGCAGACTGAACAACTACTGTCCTTGTGTTGCCCACTGCGTGGATTTCTAATTCAGAGTTTGGAATGAGCTGCATTTCATCCTTGTACCAGCAAACCTGGACTTCAGGGTTCAAGACCTCACACTGGAGTACTACAGGGCAGCCAGCTTCGATCAACTTGATCTTCATGTCTTCAGGAAGAGCTGAGAACTTCATAGGTGGAGCTACAGATATGTTTAGAATTCATATCAACCTTGAGTAAACCTCAAGTTAGCAATGCAGATAGATTATTTATGTTTACCGATGACTAAATTGCTAACATGCTGTAACAACATGAAGAGTTTTAAAAAGTTGCCAAATATATACAGTAATTACTGCCAAAGAGAAATACAACAGAATGTCAGACAACAAAGAAAATGGTCAAAAGGGTTAGTTACATTGCTGAGTAGAAGCTTGTTAATGTTCCACATAATTTAAAACTCATAAATCACCTTTGATGTCCACACTGAACGTGATGGAGTCACCCTTTGTCCTGCAGCAGTACAAGCCAGAGTGGGCCACTTCTGCTGAATGGACAACCAGTTTCCTCACAAAGACATCAGTTATCATATCTACGCCAGTTTGAGGAAGGAGCTTTGACCCATCTTTGTACCAGTGCACCTGGGCAGATGGGTCTGACAGCTCACATTGTAAAACAATTGGGCAGCCAGTTTGGACGATTTTGTTCCTTTCTGCATCTGGAATAGCTGAAAACCTCACAGGTGGGGCTATGAATATATACATATTATCACCAGTTGTTCAGTTATAGTTCAAATAGCTGTTTTAGGACAAAATACACAATTTATTTGTATAGGTAATTTGTACATACTGTATATATAATATATATATATATATATATATATATATATATATATGTGTGTGTGTGTATATATATATATATATATATATATATATATATTACGATAGAAAAAAAACTGTCTGAAAGTGGCATGAAGTTTAGTTTTGACAAAAGTCAGAAGTTTTATAAGAGACTCAAGAAACTTACCTTCTACTTCTACATTGAACCTGATGACATCATCAATAGCATCACAGCAGTACACTCCTGAATGTGAGAAGTCTGCTGATTGGATGACAATCCGTCTCATTGTGCCTTCTGATTGGATATGAAGACCATCCATTGTCTGTAGTTCTACCCCGTTCTTGTACCAATGCACTGAAGTTGAAGGGTCAGAGATCTCGCAGTAAAGTACAATTGGGTTCCCAACTTCTACAAATTTGTTGCGATCCATTTCAGACAGTGGTAGAAATTTCACTAGTGGAGCTGCAAATGTTACAACAGGGGGAAAAAAATCATAGCATGGATATTCCTCTTTAAACATTGTAGTATAAAACACTGCTGTTGTTTAGGTAATCTTGCATTTTTGGATTCAGGCAATATTTTAAAAAATTAAACAGTCATGTCTCAGAAAACACTGAAGTAAATAATCACAATGAATGTTGGGTAATCCACCACATACTCGAATTTTCTAAACTGTTTCAGAATTAGTTTTAAAAAAAAAGTGTTTCATTGCCAGGTTTGGTTGCTTGTTAGATTTTTATTTTATTTTACTTTTTGTACTCTACGTATTGATTTTGCAACCCCTTATCCACCATATTTTCTGGTTTTCCATAAATTATTTCTATTGGCTGAACAGTTTTTGTCCCCTGTCTGTCCGTCCACCCGTACGTGAATGTTCTGAGCATGACAACTTGAAAAATATGTGAGGTATTAACGATCATTTTGTGTGGCTACATCAAACTATAAGAACATTTCCTTTTTGAAAAGTGAGTTGCTAGGTTCAAATCCAAGACAGCCACCCCAACATATATGTAAACCTTGTAAGCTGAATAACGTGAAAAATAAACAATGGGCCAACTTCATTTCTGGTGTGTGGTTGCATCTAGACATTTGAAATGTTCTTTCAAAAATTGGATTGCCACGTCAAAATCCAAGATGGCCACTGACATGTAAACATGTAAACTGGCCACCCTAAAAAAATCTACCTATGTTCTTATACACAACGTATCTCCTACCCGCTTGTATATCTTGCACCAAAAACATTCGGATTTACTTGCATTTCTTGTTCAATTCTAGTCCAACAAAATCATCTTGTAAACTACAAATATTCACTATACTGTAGGAGACACTGGCGCTTGTTCATAGTGAAAAGCAATTTATCAGATTTACCTATACAGTACCTACCTTGTATATATAGGGCTGCAGAATCTCTGATACCATAGGCAATAAATGTAATATCAGCTCCATTGTCTGTATCCCGTACTCCTCGAATTCGAAGAGATTGGTGGGTTCTTGACCGTCGAATGGAATAACGCTCATCTTCTTGAAGCTGGGTTCCATTTAAAAACCATGTACCAATAACTGAAGCAGAAAGTTCAATGGTGAAAAGAGCATCCTGCCCCTCTGGCACCAAGGCATCTTGTAAAGGAGCTTGTATTCTGGCCACAGGAACTGCAAAAATAAATAAATTTGTTAAAAATGTGGTGTTACTCTTGACCATGTGATCACTGATTAGGAAAAAAAACAAGGCTTTGTTGCTTTATCACAATTCTACTGTTATACTAGAGATTACCTAAGTGAACAGTGCGTGGAAACTCAACATTGTTGCTTTTTCCATATTTGTTTACACTGCAAATACGAAAGCGATAATCGGCTTCGCATGGGACGCTGTCACCAAGGATCTCCACAGCAGTTGCAGAGTCTGTGGTCAAACACTGAAGCCACTCCTGTGATCCAGTGCCTACTTCCTGTCGTTCAAGCACATATCCAGATGGAGGGTTCTTTCGTGAGTCGGGAGCAGGAATCCATGAGAGCAGGGCGGCATTGGCACGCTCTGTGTTCATCTGCACTCCAACTGGACAGCTCGGAGGACAATGTCTTGCAGCTAAAACAAAACAATCAAACATACATTCAGTCGGAATACAAAGAATAAGAAATGTACAATTTTCAAAAACTTATTAAAAACAATAATTTTTCTTGCATATGTTGCAATAAGTTATTGATAATGGAACTCACATTTCACTCTTAACTGAGAGGACGTCTTTGATCTGCCCACAAGAAAAGTCACTAAACCAGAGTCTTGGGGCATCGTATTGACAAAAACCAGGATGTGAGTACGACCAAAGGACTTAATGATGGTCTGGTGGGTTTCACGCAACTCCGTGCCATCTTTGTACCAATGAATGTCCATCTCTTCTTTTTCCACTTCAACGCAAAAAGCAGCATTTTCACCTTCCAAGACATCCACTTTTCTTGGAAGTTTTCGCAAAATTGTACCTGTAAAAAGGACAATAAAGAAATTAAATAAATTATGTAACCCCCACTATTATTATTTTTTTCTTTATTTGTTACTTGCTTCCTGGTAACAAGATGAAACTGTTTGGAAATGCCTTGCATACAACCTTTGAGTATGTAAGCCATTACAGAAGTGATTAAAGTTTCTCTGTTAAAGTGAGTGATCTTAGTTATAGTTTCCAACAGTCATGCTACAAATATTTTATTTTTGGCATGTTGGATCTTCAAAATAATACGTGTCCCTTTAGAGGACCCAGGTCAGAGCAATGTCCTTGTATTTTTTTAATCAACATATACAGTATGTCAGCTGTTCATGAAACTTGATTCATGGAGCACAAGGTTTGCCTAAAAAGAAACATTCAATCCTTTTAAATGACTGAGTCTATGTTAGACTGTGGACTGAAATGTTCCACCAGTACCATTAAGCTATGTTGTACATCGTTTGGATTATTTGAATCCCAGTAGAAAGGGATAGAATCAAGATATTTTTGAGCAAATTTACGATTTAGGACATTGTGATCCAAAAAAACTTGAACTTGTTTCTTGAAAATGTTTGACTTCTCATTTAAACTGTTGATTTCTGAAAATGGATTGTCAGTCTTTTACTTATTAAGAAACTCAAAATGAAGTTAGTTGCCTTTCATTCAAGCACTTTTAATTAGTTATGGTGAAGTTTTTTAATCACTCGCATACATAAAATACAAATTTTAGATCTACATTAACTCATAAGTCTGAAAACAGACAGATAGACTTTTATTCAAGTTATCACTGACACCATTCTGCTATATCAAATTAGCTATCAGAAGAACAGGATGCAAGTTACGTATGCATCAAAAAATAATTGGAATTCACCACTTTTTGCCATAATCAAATATTTCTCACTGCAAAACAGGAAGAACATGTGTGTTTCTTACATCTACAGTGAATCCAACAGAACAAAACCAAAAAAAAAAAATTGGAATAATTTTATACACATAATAACCCATTGGAAAAACTACTGATAGATGTTTTCCACCTATCACCAAGACTGCAAAGGTTTTCCATATAATATCGGCCAGTTGCTTGATTTATAGTTGTTTTAAGTGTTTTTCTTTTTTACTTACTGTTTTAAAATCTCCTGGAAAATGTATAATATTTACCTTTAACAGCTACTTCTGCTATACTTCTGCCCCCATCAGGCATCTCACAGAGGTAAATTCCATCATCATCGACTCCGATGTCACGAATGGTTAGTCGTCGTTTCGTTCCCCATTCCTCCATTCCATATTTGGCCCCTGGCTGCAGTCGTCTGTCCTCCAGATACCATGTTATCGGAACAGAGTCTTCTGGAACTTCACACTCAAGAACAGCTAAATCTCGTTCCCAAACTTCTAGATCATAGAGAGGCTGCTTAAACCGTACAGGTGGCTCTGGGACCAGAAAAAAGGAAGGGATATATATATATATATATTTTAAGAAACATCACATTTACACTCTTGTAATAACCCTATAAATCATATGTTTCATAACAAATTCTTGAGCAAACAAGATGCACAAAAATAAGGAGACAAGTGATGCATTTAGTTGAGGAACAAGAAGGCTGTAAACACGTTGGTGTGTTAGAAAGGGAATACACTGTTTGTAACTGACACCAACACATGGCACCAGACAGTTGTAAACATCAGAATTAATTTAGTTTGAGTGTGAAAAGCTCCTCACTTTCACAATCTGTGATTTTTTTTAGTTGTTTTGTAGCACATTCTGTATTTACCATTCTGTTTTGTTAATTACTTTGCTCATTATGATGTTTTCTAGAGTTCACTTCACATCCTTTGTTCCATCAGCTTCTGTGCTTCTGTCAGTTCCTTAGTTCTGCCATGCTCACACCTGTTCCTTGTCAATATTAGTCTCACCTGTTGCCACTTACCTAATTAATCAACCTCAGCTTTTTTTAAGACTCAACTCCCAGTCCATCTACAGTATACCCTTGTGTGCTTTATTCACTGTCTGGTTCCACTCTGTGCCACTTTGAATTTCTTCTTTTTGTTTACATCTGTGACCACATTTTCTTTTTATCATCTTTTTAATAATTAAACTCTTTAGGTGTAACTCAAGCTCCTTGTGTGGTATGTTTTCTTGGGTCTAACTCTAAATGCCTGACACTAACTTCCTTATATAATTCTCTCTACATGTAACCAATGGCTTCAACTGACCATCAATTTTACCTTTGTTTTATTTTATAACTCTTAACTGATAGTATAAGGAAGTCAAAGGGATACTATAATGGTGCAATGAGTTTGGATGCCTTTAGACCATGTGGGAAATAGGATACCCCACTGAAAAGCTTCTATCACGTGGACAATCACCTGTAGACCTCTCACAAGCTAAATAACTTTTCAGACATCACATTAATGCTGGAATTTACCTCAAATTGGGGAATTTCAGACATCTTCAGGCTCAAATTTTGATTCATTGATAATCATGGGAATTGATAGCCAAATATATTTTCTGGGCTAGTGAACTGCTCTAATATCAGCCCATCAAACTAAATACCAAACCAAACATTTGCCATTTAACTCATTAAGCATCATACAGTATGTAAGCATTGGGGTATAAAGTACCATGTGCATCCAAACTATATTGATTGGTAGCTCAACAGATCATGGTTGAAACTGTAGCATATAAATATGGAAAGCTGATACTTAATTGGAACAAAATTTAATGGTAAATACCTGTCTGAGTGCAAGTGGCTATGCTCAAATTTTAGAGAATTAAAAATTATTATTATTATTTTTTAGAATAGCAAGTTAAATGTGTAAAAGCATGCCGTCAAGCCAGGATACAACTTTTTAATTTATTTTCCCCCCTCTATTTGGCCTTATACCAGTAAATGATCTCAGTGCACGTTTTTATCTCAGTGACATCATACTAGCATCAAATGGACAGAAATTTGATACAAAAATTCTTAACATGCTACTTGGTATGTTACTCGTGGTAAGAAGCATCCCATGCTTGGACTGTGTTTGCATTTATCCTTAGTGTTTCATTTGCTTATTTATAAATCAAAAGCTATTGAAAGAAAGTTTGACTTACCCTTGACAGAAAGGTGTACAGCACTGAGCGTTTGCCCTGCAGTATTTGATGCAGCACAAACATAAACTCCATTATCCTTTTGCTTACAATACAGAACTTTTAGTGTGAAGTACCCATCTCTATCCTCATACAACAAGTAACGCCTTCCAGAAAGTATAAGTCTACCATCTTTCCTCCAGATTATTTCTGGTTTTGGTTTACCAGTCACAAAGCAGCGGAATTTGGCATGCTTGCCTTCAGTCACTGCAAACATTTTCACTTTTGTTGACTTGGTCATGTTGTCGTCTCTTAGTCGACTTGGTACTTGTCTGCCAGTTCTCTGTTTTCCCTGGTGAATTTTCCAGTGACCATTGGTATAGCCATTACGATTTCCCTCTTCTTCATGTCCCGGACCTGCATCAACAAGTAGTACAGCTCCTGCTAGAGCTTCTCCAAACTCATTCCTAGCTTTACATGTGTATACACCACCATCTGGAGCACGAGTCTTGAAGATTTTAAGCTGAAACCATCCACCATCCTGATGGCCCACACTGAAATGTGTGCTCTCAAAAATTTCATTAAGTTTTCTACCATCCTTTTCCCAGACAACTTCTGGTCTTGGGTTTCCCCAAAGCTTACAGGAAAAGACAGCATCCTCTCCACGGCCAACACGAGTGGAAAGGGGCTTGATGAGAAATCGTGGCTTATTTTCCTCTCTGAGCTCCATTTCTTGGGCCTCACCTTCAACCTTCAGAGTGGCAGCTGCATAGGTTTCCCCAATGCTGTTCTTTGCTTTGCATATGTATTGGCCACTATCCTCAATAGTAACAGCTGATAGGATAAGGTTGTAAACGTTGCCATCTTCAAAAACCCTATATCGTCCTTGAGGGTCAATCTTTTCATTGTTTCGTTCCCAGATGACGGCAGGCCTTGGATCGCCACCAATTTGACACTTTAGGACTGCATCCGTTCCACTTTGTACCACTACAGGTCTTGGATAGGCTAAGAAACGTGGTGCACCACCAAACACATCCATTCTTGAGTCTTTGACAGTTTCCCTCCACCTCAAGAAGTTCAGGAGAGGTATCCAAGGCGTTTCACCACAGCAGGACCATCCAACGTCTCCACTGTAGTTTCTAAAGAAAGACATGACAAATAGATTATTTTCATTAAAAACACAGTGTATTTTATACCAATGATACCTAAACTTTTCAACTACTGACTCAAAGAACCAGTGAAGTCTTGTGACCCCAACTATTGCTGGTTGATGGGTTTATATCTTCTTGAATCAAAGAGGTTAACAACACAAACAGCCCTATCATTCACTGTACAATTTTTTTTAATTTATTTATCACTGCTGTTTCTTAAATGTGCCAAAAAATGTAAAAATAAAAAAATAGGTATTAAAATTGCTATTTGAGAAATAAATATAATCTTAAAGACTCTCAACTTGTGTTTTGCAACCCACAGAGGGGTCCCGACCCTAATTTCAGGAACCAGTACTCTAGAAACATGGGAAAACGTAATTAAACATTTTGCAAATGTATAACAAGTAAGTCAAACACTGAAGCAAAATTTCATGGGATCATAATTTAAAAGTTCCTCAAGGAATTAACTCCTTATCGTTTAGAATGGAAAGAAAAGCTTTTATCATTCCAGCACTCACCCTCTGCCCCCATGAATGTTTCAACACAAACAGATGGTATGAATATTAGAGCTAATTGAATTAGATCTGTCTGCGTGAGAGAAAAACACAGCCGAGCAGTAAGAAGAGGAACAGCCCAGTCCTGTTGCAACAGCAGCAACAACACATAGCCAGTACAGCTGGTGCTGTATTTCAGTGGGAAAGTGCTTAATATAGTACATCCTAAATAAAGACCTGAGAGGGAGTGTGTGTCAGGTATCACAAAGACAGCTTGAATCCTGCATGCGCACACAGACACAAACTCACTACAAGACTACCTAAAAAACTTTATACTAACCCTAAACTAATTAATTTAACCTAACCATAACTGTAAAACAACCTTTTTTCTTAAATGTGAAAGTGAAAATTATTTTTCTAATCATAAAATGTCACAATTCTATGCATCCATTAATTTTTTTTTCCTGCTGACAATTACACTGCAATTTTATTATTTAAATATATTTATCTGTGCACTTCATCTATAAGTTTTGGAATAAGGAGGATATTAGATTATGTGTCTATGAAGTTCCAAGTTTGAAAGAAAATCAGACCTACATGCTGTTTTATGTTACCCAAATGCACATGTTTTTCATAATTATTATAGTAGATTATTTAAATCAATTGTTAAATTATGGTAATCCTGGGAAATGTTGTTCTGGTTGAATTGATCCTGCCAACCAGGAGTCAGATGCTGGGATGCATTCTTGTATCCTTTATTTCACAGTTTACGTATTTCACCTTTTTTTTTTTTTAACTGTGTTTAAGACTTCAATAAAATAATACAAACCAAATAATGAGTATTCAAAATTTTGAATTGTTAATGTTTTTTTTAAAATATATATTTAAATATGTATTTTTCCATTTGCAAATTATTAAATTGTTTTAGTGCTTATCTGTGATTTAATTTGTCTATAATTTGTTAGACCTGACTTTGGGTATGGAATTATTGATTGGTAGCTTCATCACCTTAGGGACAAGACTCTGCTCACACAAAACAACACCAACAACAAAATGCATTTCAAATGGAAACAACAATATTAAAACATCTTCTCTACTGCTGTTGGAACACAAGAAAAGTCATTATGTTAAAAATCATTGGCACGTTCAACAATCTGATTTGGAGAACAGAAATTACAAATTCTGTGCTCCAGCTTAATTAGTCAAACATTAATCAGAGAGCGGGTTAAGAGAGAGACTGGATTAGCTCACCTGCAGTCCCTCAATGTGTTGTGGGTAAGAGAGCATCCAAACGTGGGTGCATTTTATCATGCCAAAAAAAGCCCTGCACTACAACCGTGCATGCTCTGATACCCTCCTCTGTTTGGCTGTCAACAAAAGGTCTAAAGTTCTCTGTGGGACAATCTGTTCAAACGTAAATCCAACCAAAAATGTTTCTTTTAAAAGATCAAAGTTACCACGAGGAAAGACAAAAAGTAGTATTTACCAGGCTGTGGTCGCAGCTTCAGCAAAACTCAAGTATCAACAAATAAATTACAAAGTTTAGAACATTTTGAAAAGATTCCAGTGCTGTGACAAAACAGCCAGTTTTCAAGAATCTGCCAAATTTGTGTACACAGTGTAATTTCTGCAACCAAACCACACACTATTAACATTGTTAGTACAGAATTTTAATTGACTTTGCAGAATATTTCATTCACACAGTTTAGACATTACACTATGTCTTTAATATTCCCTCTGGAGGTTTAAAGAGAACATATTAAATGCTGTGTTTGCTCGTCTTATTTAATTGGAATGACCTTTGGCACTTGGTGAAGTCGTGCACGCCTCACACACCCTACCTCGCTTCAGTCACCAGCAACCATCATCAACATACATTCCGTGCCTGCAGTCACAGTCCGAGCAGTTCCCAGTTCCAGGAGGTTGAGAATTGTAGTTGAATGTGCTATAGCCGTAGTGTAGTAGTAGCGGCGTCCGGGGTTGACTTCACTTTCACAGACATGGCTCCCTAAAGGTCCAAACTCGGTTGCATCCTCACAAACTTGTGTCCAGGAAAACACAAGAAAACCAAACGCAAACCTCTGCACCAGCTTCCTGTTGAACACGTTCAGAGCAGTTCCCAAATCTCCGTTTCGTTCAGGCCTTAGACACCCCAACTGTCATTGTTCATGGAATACTGTTAAATGCTTTTGCAGCTGCTGCTGTCTCCTAAAAATACTATGTGCCTTGATGACAGCAGAGGGGATAAGCCAGGCACTTCCATTCACTTGCCAGAGGGGGCTAAAGATAGTCCAGCTGGTCTGTGCAGAGCACAGCACTTAGCTTACTTGAAATTTTGCAATAAGAAATAAACTGTAGGGGAATTAAGATACGATTTATTTAGAACCTTTTTAAATTTGCTCATAACTTGATTGTAAATCGACAAGTTTACTTATCATTGTTTTCTGAAACATTTGTAAACTCATGGTAGATTAATATCGGAACTAGATGAATATAACAGTCCATAATATTTTGTTTAACAAATATAGCGGTATGGTTAGCTTTTCCCATCCATCCATCCATTTTCTTCTACTTATCCGAGGTCAGGTCACGGTGGTAGCAGCCTAAGTAGGGCGGTCTAGACTTCCCTCTCCCCAGCCACTTGGGCCAGGTCCTCAGGGGGAACCCCAAGGTGTTCCCAGGCCAGCCAAGAAAGATAGTCCCTCCAGCGTGTCCTGGGTCTTCCTCTGGGTCTCCTCCCGGTGTGATGTGTCCGGAACACCTCACCAGGGAGGTGTCCAGGAGACATCCTAACCAGATGCCCAAGCCACCTCAACTGACTCCTCTCGACGTGGAGAAGCAGTGGCTCTACTCAGAGTTCCTCCCGGATGGCTGAGCTTCTCACCCTATCTCTAAGGGAGAGTCCAGACACTCTGCAGAGAAAATCCATTTTGACCGCTTGTATCCGAGATCTCATTCTTTCGGTCACGACCCAAAGCTCATGACCATAGATGAGGGTAGGAAAGTAGATGGAGCGGCAAATCGAGAGCTTCGCCTGTTGACTCTGCTCTCTCTTCACCACGTCAGACCGGTACAGCGCCCGCTTCACTGCAGACGCTGCACCTATCTGCCTATCGATCTCCTGCTCCATTCCCCCCCCATTCGTGAACAAGACCCTAAGATACTTAAATTCCTCCACTTGGGGCAGGACCTCCTCCCCGACCCAGAGAAGGCGCTCTACCCTTTTCCAACTCAAGACAATGGCCTTGGATTTGGAGGAACTAATCCTCATCCCGGCTGCGTCACACTCAGCTGCAAACCGTTCCAGCGAAACCTGTAGATCACGAACTGATGAAGCCAATAGGATAACGTAATTTGCAAAAAGCAGACACGTGATCCTAAGGCCACCAAAACGGATCCCCTAAACACCTTGGCTGCACCTATAACTTCTGTCAAAATAAAAGTTATGAACAGAATTGGTGACAAAGGGCAAGCAGCATGAACCAAGCTCTGACACCAGTCATACAGGGACCTAACAGCCCATATTAAAGTGAGCTTTTCACATTTTAGTTATCTAATTAACTGGTTATAACAAAAAAAAATTGTGATAATGGGTTAAAATATTAAAATCAGCTGATTCGAGATGGACTGATTCATATGTATTCCACAGGAATGTTTTGATGATGTGTTAGATTAGAAGTATCCAATCCTGGTCCTCAAGGGACACTATCCAGTATGTTTTCCTACTCCAACGCATCTGATACAATCCCTGAATTACCACATCGTGTTCTTCTGAAGCCTCTTAATTAGCTGTTGAGTAAAATTAAGTGTGGGTGAGAAATGCCTACATATCTCAAAGGAGAATTTCTGCCCCAATTTTGGTAGACAATAAAGTTTTAACTTGTTTTATCTTATTTTAATCTGTTTTTTTTTTTTTTTTCATTACAGTCTGTTTAACAATCTATCATAGTAAATGCACATTATTTGAGGAATTGCATTGGCTAAAATTTAAAAACAATTATATCAAAATATGAACTAATAAACAACGGTTTGTGCTGCAATTGATGCTTGAAACTTATTTGTTAGAGTTTTTCTTTGTTATCATTTTAAAATAATTTCTAACTCATTATATAATATCTGTTTTCACATGCACTGAACAAAAAGTTCATTTCTTAGGATTTAATCTTGTTGTTGCTGTGTGTAAGTTCTGGAAAGTTTCTACTTTTACATCAAGTGAATGGTTTATCAAGAAACTATATGTACAAGCTAAATCTTCTGAAATGTTCTGACCGTCATCCTGATAAGATTTTTGTTCATGTAAACTTGACCTGTTTTCTTGCCCAACTTTTACATTTAAATAACAGATTCACCCAGCAAGACGACAGAGTTCACCCTAAATGCAGTGACTCTCGCTTTGCAAAGGTATCGAGCGCTAAAAACTCTCCTCGCCGTGTTGTGTGAAACTATTATCTTTAAAGGTTAAACAGAAAATACCTAATATTATTTATGTATTCTTAAGTCTCTCTTGTTCTTATTTTTATTTTTTGTATGTATAAGGACAGCAAAATTGACATCAACTACTACATCTTTTGTATAAAAGTAGAATCTATCAATAAATACGTACAAATTATTCTTCTGTTAATTTAATTATTGATATAATTAATGTCCTGTAAGCTGTATTTGGGTCTATGATTGGTGGATTAAAGAGATGGGACAGAGCTTGGACCTGGGTTTTCATTGTGAAAGTTTTTTTTTTGTCAGACTTGTCCTCAACATTGGCTGCAGTGTCCCTTCAGCTGTTTAGTGTCCCAGCACTCGACACTCCCACCGCCCAAATTTCAGCTGTTGGAAGAAATCTGATACACCTCAGACCCCTCTGGTCGGTTAGGAAATGTTTTGTGCTCAAGGCTGAACCACAGCCTAAAGAGCACAAACGGAGGCAAAACAATTATAATGTGAATTTTTAATTAGTGTTTTGTCATATGCAGGCTCTTTTATTCATCATTCTACTTTGTATTTATTCTAACAGTAATTTGCGTTTAGATTATTCAGCAAAATTACTCAAAAGTCAGCCATACTGGACAGATTTGTTTTGTGATAATGTGCTATTATTTTAATTCCTAATGGGCTATTATATGCTTTTCTGTAGAGTTAAACGGTTTGCTGTTGGAACCAGTTTGATAATCATTTACCATGACTTTTAAAAATAAAAATAAGGAAAATATACTCAATAATAAGCTACGATGTCAGTGGGAAACATAGGAACACTTATATCTGAACTTTTCCCACAGATATTCCAGGTTCCTGACAGTCTGTAACAACCTTTAAATGAAAATACAGGTTTTAAATCAAAATACATGGGTTCAGTTCATGTGTCATGGTTGTTTTTTTCATTCATTCATCCATCATAAACAGATAAGTCATGTTGAGCCTCATAGACTCATTTACAAGTGAGACCTGTTTGGACAGACAATAAAAGTGGTAAACTGGACACATGTAGGAATTGGAGGCAAAAAAAATTCCTATCAGACATTTTTTTTCGTGCCTGAGAAGAAAAAACTCTGATAATAAAAAACACCTCGCACAAACAAGCACATAGTGACGTAGACATTCTGCAGAGGGGGGAGGCGAGAGCGGTGAGCATGATCATAGATGCTCTCGAGGGCATTGTAAGAGTTCTGATAAAGATGTAATAATCAGTCAATGGCCAAGAATAATGACTACGAGAATCCAAGAGTCCTGAAATGATGACACAAAGTTTATTCAGCTGGTTACATCTGGTTATCAGTTGGAAATTCCTCAGGGAGGGGTTGGTGAGCATCAGATCACATGTTCTCCAGGCAAATTCAGATAAGATGACCTTCAAGGCCAGCCAAGGGAGCCAAATTCAGATAAACACACAGTTGTTTTGGAGACAGGCAGAACTTAATGACATCTACCTGGAGTCTGTGTTGGTCCACTCGGTTCTGAAACGTCTAAATTACATGGCTACACCGATGGAACGTGACTGAGTAAAATCCCCAAGATCTACTCCATTCTGCCAAAAGCATTTGAGTCTGGGTACTCGAGACACGAACCAAGCCATCATAAAGGCAAGCAGCGTGATCGGGTCCAAAATTTGCTGCCGATGACTTCCTTGATTGTAGATAAAACCAGCAACTATCCAAATCCAAAAAGCAGGAACCAGTCATTGTAAATCCAATTAAATATGTGTCCTTAAAATCCACAAGTGGCAGCAGAGACAGACACATCATCAAGTCTTCCAAGTCGATGAGATATCCAGCTGCGTGCATGCCTACAGGGCAAATCGTCTCGCCTAAAGCTTGTTTTCTCTTCGAAGAAATGTTGTAAATTGAGTTGAGGGACCAACTGGTCAAAACAGGTCCATAATAATGGTTCGGAAGAAATGCAAGAGAGTCTCAGAAGCAGTTTCACAGACAGACAGAGGAGCAAAGCGGAGAGGGAGGAGAGAAGCGTCCGATCTCGGCAAGAGCAAGTGGTGAATTTTAGTCAACTATTATAAACATCTATAATTCTTAAACTTAGACAAGGGAGTGAATGTTATACAAATGATAATCTTATTTTCATATGTTGTTTTTCTACAGCAGAGGTTGGGAAACCGTCCAAACTGTTGTGTAAAATTACAGACTTAACTTCTCAGTGAAAAACAGAAATAAGCCTGATTTCACTTCTCTTTATTTAAAATGCAATAAATACCTCCCATTATCATTTAGCATTCCAGATATCAAACTGTTCCGACGTCTGAGGATTGTTTTAGTTTATGTACTTTGTAGTTGCACGACAACATACACTGCTGCTCCATTTGATGCTCAAAAAAAGAACAAATTTACTTTGTATATTAAACGAATAAAACAAGTAAGACTTCACTTCATTGAGTCCCCTG